TCAAATTAATGCCCAGAAAATTATTCAAAAATGTAACAATAACAGCTATTTTTACTATGTGCTTAGTATTTTTGTTTCCCTATATACTATCTCACTTAATTATCACTAAACTGCTAAGGTATTATTGTTACATTTCCCCCTCCATTCACAGAAAATGAAACTGAAGTATGGAGAGGTATTTGACTATCAGAGGCACAAAAGATAGTAAATAGCAAAACTACAATTTGAACTAATGGAATTTTCTTTTTGTTGTGATTGCAACCAATATCTTAGGTTGTTCATTTTGATACTTTCAGCTCCCTCTGAGTATTTTAAATGCTCATACTTCCCCTGCTTTTCATTAAACCAATGATCTTCTCAGGGACTTTGTATATAATTTGTATTTTATGTAGTGTTCTCTTATCTTTTTGACCATCTAACTCTGTATACTATCGACATCCCAGAACAAATATCACTTTTACAGGGAGGCCTTCCCTAATCACTCAGTTTTGATTAAGTGTCCCTTTCATGAACTGTCAAGGGATCCTGTACTTGATTTCATCCTTCCACTTTCACAATGATAATATTATAATCAGGTTGTATTTATATGACAAACAACTATTAGAATTTTATTTCATATGCATGTACTTATTTTATTTTATTCTTTCAGGAATGTAAGATTCACAGCTATAGCCACAGTACATAGAATGTCCTCAGGAGCACCAAGGATATTGATAATATTTGTTGCATAAATCCATGAATATATAAATACAGTGCATGAGTGTTTAGAGAAAAAGAATGGTAATTTCTTGGTTTATAAAAAAGCTCCTGGTAATAATAGCTACTTGGTATATGTGTAGAAAAAAGTTGGACACTAGATGGATAATATTTTTGAAAATGGCCCCTGCACAAACTGCAAAGAGCCCAGGATATTTTCTTATTAATTTTTTTCTTTGATTATTTCACACATGTATATAATTAATTCTGATTACTCCTGACCTCTATTATTTTCCTCCTGACACACTTCATCTCTAGAACCTGGGGAAAGGGGAATCCCTAGCCATATATTATTTTAAAACTGGGTTTACAGTATCAAGCATTAAGCCCCTCTTGCAGAGGAGCAGGATTCAAATCCAGTATGAGAGTGGTTAGTTGCTGACTAGTAGTCATGCCACTATTGCAGCTGTGGGCACATCTTGGCTGTCAGGTTGGTGGGTTTGTTATTGTTCATAGGGTCCACAGCTAGGTAAGAGTGTTGATGCCTTATCTTCCCCAGGATCCTGAATAGCATTTTCTGGCATTATGAAAGCTAGCTATCAGGAAGAAGGTTTCCACCAGCTTGATTTCTTTATGTTTGGCAATCAAGGTATGTGTTATCTTCTGAAATAAGGTCTTAATAAGTAGTTTTAGTAGGCAACCAAGAGGAATGGGAAGAGCTTATATTCTTGGTGGGGGCCAACTGAGGCATCCATGTCTAACAATAATAAGGAGATTTTCCACACCAACCATAGGGATTTGTTCATGGGATGTTTGTTCCATTTTGTCATAAACACTTTTTTGCCCTCCATGGAATCTGTACTGGTTACTGAGGGAAAAAAATTACATACAGGATGAATGTCTGTTAGTGACAGGAAAAAGAGAAGAAAAATGATGAAAAGAAATATAAGATAAAAGTGATTATGCCAAAGATAAAAGGGTCATCCTACTAGTAAAAAACAAGGCATTATTTATTCTGATCTTGTGAGAATAACCCTTACTAATTGCCAAGGAATGCTTACTGAGACAAAGACTACAGGTCAGTGTGGTTTTTCCTAACATGGTTTATTAACCTAAAGCCAATTTCAGTGTCACACTACTATCAACTGGGATTTCACTGGAAAACTGACCTTAATGTGATGTTTAGAATAGTTTAGAACACATCAAGATTGAGAATTTATCTTTTATTGTCAGATTAATAATTATTTACACGTGTACTGATTACCTTGCTGTATCTTTCAGAATAGGTTTGCAAGGAGAAGTGGACTAGAATTCCTCTCTACAGACATTCTTCTGAGGGTTACTAAAAACAATGACTAAAAGAGATAATTAAGTTATTGAAAAGCACTCAAATACTTAATAATGTTGGAGAAAACAGATAATTAAATTCTGGCACATTTTTGCAAATGACCTAAGACAGAACTTCCTAAGATAAATTCTTTGATTTATTTCCACTTGAAACCTGATGCCAGATGTCAAAAATGTAATTAAATAGCTTGATGTCCCTTGTAGAGTGTTTTACAATTTACAAAGAGCTTTCATGTATATTGACTAATTTAATTTAAATTAAAATGCTATATATTGCTGAAGCAGCAAGAATGGGTAGTCTATATTTTCACTCACTGATATCCTTAATGCCAACCATTTAGGCAAAGGTTGACTTTGTCAAGTATGACGTTCAAAATAAAGCATGGGTATGATATTTAAAAATTATAAACACATTTTATAAATTGGGCAGTAGAATAGGTATTCAAAGAAGAGAGGTATTTCTCTGTGTGACTATTGAGATAAGTGTTAAGTAAAGTGTAATGAACCAATTTAAAAGCAGAACTGAGCTAGGATTCAAATCATCTGGTCTTACTGCATTTTTCGGGAAGACAGAACCAGGCTGCTAAAGCAATAGGAAGTTATCAGTCATTTGCAAACAAAACTCCAGAGGTTATTGAGTATATAACATGATTTTCAGTCCTAAGTATAAAATATATCATAAAAATGTGTTAATAAAAAGATGTAAATGTAATGTAAGACATTATAAGTGCGTGCATTTAGTCTACCTCCTCATCAGACAACTCAAACTACTATAAATAACTTGATTGAAAAGCTGAAAGTGTATCCAAATAATCTCTAAAATCAGTAAGGATGGCATAAAACTTACATTTTTATTTCAGTAACAAGTATGAAATTAAACTAAAGTAGGAGAATATTAACATATAATAGTGCACAAAATGAAGTAATTTACAAGCTTGCTGATTTAATCTTCACTATTAAAATTTGTGTATACTAACAGATATCAAGTAGCAGTTTAGAAAGAAATGAAATGATCTGTCTATAGTGAGAACTGAAATATATGCTGTTGACCCTATAAATCTGTGCCTTCTCTCATTTAGTGAAATCAACTACCAGCTGCTCAGAGTATAAATAAATCAAGAAATACCCTAAAGAGCATGAGTACCAAAAAAGAGCATTGTTTATCTAGGGAGAGATGAATGGCCCCATTCAGAGAAGACATAAATAACCAGGGGGATGAGATTAAATGGTATCCTAAATCTACAATGTGGTGACGATTAGAAAAGGCCCATAACTAGTACTGCTAGTGCTCTGGGTTCTGGTTTAAGCTCTGTAGTAGCTCACTGGGTATTCAGAATAAAAAGAAACAAGGAACATGTTGCCCAATGATAGGCCATTTGACACCAGAGTAAATGGCAATAGAAATAAATGTGTGTGTCAGTAGATACTTATAGAAAAGGAGGAACAAGATAACAGAAGATTACATCTTCACCCATATCTAACCTGAGATTCTGTTGACCTTGTAAAGATTAGAGATATCAGATAGTGTCTCTTCAAAGTCAAGTGTTCCATCACTGATAACACTCCAAAAGGAAAAACAGCTTTCTGTCTCTTCTCAATGCCCATTCCCAATGTATGACAAAGGAGATAAGAAGACTCTTTTGGACAAATCCACACAGGTTAGAAGAGTAAGTGCTTTAGATCAGTTTTACAGAGGGAAGATGTCTTTTGTGTATACATAAAATATTGGTAAAGTGTCAAGTATTGTTTGAAGTCACTGAGAAGCTGGCTCTAGAGATGGGATTTGGCCTTACCATTTCAGATTAAAGCATGTTTGTCTCAAAGTAACCTCCAAAATCCCCTGTCCTGAGTCAGGCTGGCCCCCTGACTTTTTGAGAAGGAAAAGTAAGAGCAATGAAATAGCCCGAGTCAAGGCACTGTGCCTTTAAGAACAGCTAAGGAGAAAACTATTTCCAACAGAGTTTAATATTGTTTATCCCATAATATAAAGCTTCTTGTAGTCAAAGCAGCTAATGGGATGTTCATCCATGGAGAGGACAGAAAGAACTCACTGCCTAAAAATAAAAAAAACTTTTCAGCATCATAGTTTTAACAGGGTTTCCTTAGTTGATTTCTGCTGGAAATACAAATATTAATTTTTGTAGTGTTTTGCTATTTTTCTGTCGCTTCTCTCTGCTGCTTTCACTCACTCAAAACCAAAAGCACAAATATGGGAGATCATTTGCTGCACTATGCAAAGGACACAAAAATTTGGCTGTCATGTGTTTTCAGTGCTTTGCCTAGGAACTTGTATTATGTTTATTATATTATATGCTATGTATGTAGTCTAGATTCAACTTTCTTCTAATTATGTGGTAAATTTATTTATTAATATTGCTATGTCTCAGGGTATTAGGAAAGGAAATGTAATGAAATGGAACCAGTGGGTAGGAGAAAAAATGTTAGGAAGACATAAGAATGAAGATAATTTTAGTAAGGAAAGATTGATATGTGATAAGTCTTTGTCCTAAGATGGTTAGATGTCTCCAGCATGGAAAATTGAAAAAAATAAAACCTGGAAAGTCTAAATCAGCTACAAAGGTCTGAGTAATTTAAATAAGACATGAAAATGCTATTTAGAGGGATTGGGAAGATGGCTCGGTGGCTAAAAGTGCTTCTCTTACAGAGGGCCAACATTCAGTTCCTAAGACCCATATCTGACAGCTCACAACCTCCTGTAACCCCAGCTTCGAGGAGCATAAGGTCTCTAGTCCCCTAGGAAAATTTAATCACATGTACATATCCACCCCCCCACATAAGTACACATAAGTAAAATGCTGCCCAGTTATGGGACATCACAATCTTGGCTCAATTTCAACACTGCAGTACCTATACAGGACCTACAGCTAGCAGAGTCAGACCCATTAGTGTTATGAATTCATATTGTGGTTAAATCTCTTCTCTCTTTCTTTCTCCAGTAGCCATGTGATTCTAGTTGTTCAAACAGCTATCAAAGTGCCTGAAAACAGATCTTTGATTCATAACTCTGGAGTCAACACTTGGAGGCAAAAATATAATTACATAAACAACAACAACAACAACAAAAACAATCCTTGCAAGGAGAAGCCCAATGGATAGATGCTCCTGTGAGTTGGTAGAGGGATTTTGATGGGCTTTGATTTGGATGCTACAAATTTCCCTCTGACTTGACTTTTCCTGGTTCACTGACTAGGGCTTATAACGCTAATACCACTTGCCTGAACTCTTCTCTTCCATGACTCTATCCATATCTAACCAAGGATTTCCTTTCCTCCCTATACCTGACAGTTGTACAAATGGAACTATCAATGCACTTTTGGGGTCTCTTAGATAGACCCACTGAAGAGTACTCCAAATGCCACATTCGATGACTCTTCCTAGCAGAAAGAAGCAAGACTCTGTTGTCTTCAGAATTCACTAGATGACAGGGTTACCTCTTTAAAAGGAGTGGGGGGTGGGGTGGGGGATGATAAGACCAGGAAATCAAAGCTGGCAGGCAGCTCAGGGCAGGGACTATTTATACAACATTGCACAAGAAATGCCGTTGCTACTCTGGCCAAGGATACTGGGGGCTGTATCTGACAATGGGAACTGGATCTCCAGTACATCTCTTAATCTCTTTTGATAAACATCTGTCTTTCTCTCTATCTATTCCCTATTTTTGGCCTCTCTCCTGAATGATTTAGTTACTGCTTTAGAAGACAAAATGTTACAGTAAAGAATGGAATCTGTCTCTAGGAGGGGACATGTTGTTGTCTCCTCTGTTAAGAGTTAATCCAATTGAGCAGGTCAGTCACATGGCTAAGGGATCACCCCTTCAGGAGGATGGGTCTACCATAAGCTTTCTAAAGAAGTATGAGGAATAATTATCCCCTTAAGGAGACAATTCACTTTCCTTCCCAGAATTTCTACTCCCTACTGCAGTCCCTGCAAGCTGCCATGCTATTGGGTCTGCCTACATTTCCGAACCTGAACTCAGAAAGATGTACCTTTCCCTTTTTCTTCTCTTCTATCATTATTTCATATGCTGACCAGAGCCCAAGTATGCTTTATTTAGTACTTTGGGCTCTTTCACTCTTTGTTTTATTTCGGATTGCCCTTACCACATGGCTGCTTGTCCACCATGTGGCTGACTTGCATGCCAGTTTAATCCAAATGACATGACTTTCTCTCTCTTAAGCACCTATGCATGAATCTATAATAAGTTTCTTTCTAAAACTCAAAAATAATTAAAGCATATACCAAATCTTTCCTGTGGTTTGGTATATCAAGTAGTCCTACTTCTTGTGCACTCTATATTAGCCACTTACATGTCTAGATTGTGGCAGATATATCCCACTTCTAAGCTTTGAAAATTGCTGCTTCTATGTGCCCACTGGTACAACAGTAGGATGATAGTTATGGAGTAACTGACCCATATCTGATCAGAGTTGAGGCTTGTTACACAGGAGCAAATTTCAACCTGGTACTGTGATACTGGTGTGTCTCATGTATGGAGGTCATAGGCCCTAAAATAGAACATGCTATTGTTATTTTACTAACTGTTCATGTTGTCAAATTATCTTCTAAATATTTATTTTTATGCCTATACATCTGAGCTACTCTCAAAGTTGATCAGAGAAGATTCTTTGTTTGCGGTGGACAGCAGTCAATGTGGAGATGTGTAACTGGTCAAAGTGTTGAGAATAGATAAGTGTCAGAATGCTTAGCTCTAAATGAGTCATATACAAAGCCCTTATTCCATCATAATCCTTCAAAAGCTCAGGGAATATTACGAACAGGATGTATCAAGAATATAAAGTTGCAAGATGAGGAGGGGTACCATGAAATGCTATCACATGGCTATCACATGAAATGACATCACATGGCTATTGCACTCATAAAATCACAATAGCTGTGGTTACCTGGACAAGTCCTATACAAGGTCGAGCTGGCCCAAATTCCCATAAAGACTGGGTAGATGATCTACAGACTCCCCCCCTTACTGAGGAGTTATTGGCAGTTGATAACAGCTGGAGAGGAGAGAATCCTTTGAGGGTATGACAGTTGTAGGTTTCCCATGCTCCAGCAGATGGCCCCACATCCATGTCTGTATGAGTAGCACTATTTGGACTTATGGGTTATCAAAAAAGAAAAAAGACATGAAGTTAGGAGGAGGAGTGTTAGAGGCATATGCAGTAGTTGGAAGGGAGGACTGAGGAATGTATATGATCATATTTCATTCTATGCATGTACAACTCAAACACTGAAAAAAAATAAGAGACCTAAAAATTGTTCCATCTATCTGAAGTGCCAATCCACAGATAAAATCAAGGCTTGCTCCTTTATCATATTCAAATGTTAATTTCTTAATGTCTTCCCAGAACACTCTGCTTGAACTATCGTATACCTTCAGTACAAAACAACTATCTGCATTTTTTTGTTTTATATTGTTCATAGCATACAACGTGTAAAATACTGAACATTTTGTACATTTACAATATAATTGATTAGTAGGGCACTTTTACTATTTATATCAGAAAATGTAGCAGTGCACTAGATACATGATATTTGTTCTATACATATGTTTTAAAGAATAGGCACCATGATAGGAACTGAATATTATGCAGTAATAATTAAAATAGTTCTGTATAAATGGGAGAAATATGTCAGTGGAAAACAGTCAAGGAAATACAGTACAGAAATATAAGTAAATATATTCACATTCTCATTGAAAATATGCCATTAAAATTGAAATGACATTATATTGGAAAAACAATATAAAATAGTAATTTTTTATATTATATTAGTAATTTTTATATTATAATAGTAATTTTATATATTATAAAATATATAATGTAGACAAATTTCTAAATAGTCTTATTAAATAAAAACATGGATCCAAATATAGGGGTGAAAGCCTTAAAGAGATCAGGGAAATAGGGAAAGCCACCAGTCAAACTTACCTCACCAACTCTGCAGCTTCCAAATGTGAGTTACTTCCTGTCTACCCATGTCTATATGCCTTGCTGTGGAATTAAGGCATTTGCCACCACATCTGGCTCTATTTCCAGTGTGGCCTTGAACACACAGAGATCCTGCTGCTAAGTGATAGGATTAGGTGTGTGCTACCACTGCCTGACTTCTTTGTTTACTTTAAATGGCTTGCTGTTCCCTCTGATATCCAGGCTTTATTTATTAAAGTACAAATAAAATATCACCACATTTCCCTGTTTTTTGTCTAATAAAAACAAAAAAATAAAAAAGTTATGGCTAATATAAGAAAAACTATATACAATAAGTACAATAACTATATACAATATATACAAGCAATAAATACATCAACAATGTCTAGTCCATTTGCATTTGACAAATTCAGAGAAAATATTCCATTATCTATCCTATTTTGGTGAATCTAAAATGTACCTAATTCACTTTCTATCCTAACTTATATTACCAACTGAAAACTATCTTATGATGTCTTTCAAACATATACACTTAACACCTCTTAGTGAGTTTTTTTTTCTGAATTTCTTAACAAGGAAAACTGTAACCACAACTATCTAATCTTCAACTCCCTCAGAGACCCAAGAAGGAAATAATATTACCTAGGAAAACAGAAAGTGTAAGCAAGAGACTTCCAAAAAATGAGTTATGACAGAAACAGCCAGCTGCCTGGACAGTCACCCGAGGTTTCTCTGCACGTTGGGGCATCATCTTTGGCCTACAGGCTTGGCATATCTGACAGACTCATTTGTGAAGTAGGATGTACACGAGGCCTACAGCTCGACCTCACGTTAGGTGCGAGTATTCCATGTACCAGATAAACTTGAATTCCACCACTGTCCTGTCAAGATTCAGGATTTTAAATTCGTGAAATTGCTGGTATTTTTGGAATTCAGCTTCCCATTCTTCTCGGCTTGTGGGTGGCTTCATCTCCTTTATTAAATGCCAGTCTACCATTGAGAGGTTAGACTCTGTCAGCCTAGTTACTCTTTCAATAACTGTTTTAGCTACTGTTCCACAGCATATCAGAAGTCATTGGTCCACTGCCAGTTCAGTTGCCTTTGAAGAAAGGGGCACTGTACCTTTTCTGGATTGCAAAGCCACTTCAGCGATGGTGCCATATTATCTTGGCCTCAGAGGATGCCTGCAACCACACTTGTCTTGTCAAGGATTGGTCCTACTTTGTTTTGTGTCCTTTTTGTCCATTTTGGATAGCATACTATCAGCAGTCGATTTGAGGGCACTTTTTTGCCCAGTGGCTAACTTTTGCCATGATGAAAGCTAACTCCATATGCATATATCTTCTCTGAAGTAGATTGGTGCTTCCAGAAGCAGACATGTCTCAGTCATAAAATAAGAAAAAAAATCTATGTTATTAAAACTTTTTAAATGACATATTCTGTATGTCTCTGAAGGGTTTGAAGATAACCTGTCTATCTAAAATATATCTCTGCTTGACCTTGAAAACATACCTAATATGACTATAAGTTCAATTGTAATGTCTAACTACTAACTTTCATTTCTTTATATCCTAATAGTTGAATAGTTGATAATAATGACATTCAAGGATTAGCAAAGTGCATTACATTGTTAAATGAACTGTATAGGTACAATACCTTGAACAAGATTAATAATATACGGGCAGGATTTTCTAACAAAATCAATCTCAAATTTGTATCAATATACATAATTTGTATACAATATACAAAAATCCAATCCAATGTAAAATACTTAAAACTAAGAGCTGCCATATATATATATATATATATATATATATATCTCCTTATTTTTTCTTTTCAGAGTAGATTCAATAATCTACCCTTTATTTTTATCATTTTTATATCTTTTTTTAGCATAGATTCAATAATCTCCCTCTTATCTATCCTCTTTTTTCTTTTTCTTCCTTTTTTTTCTCAAACAAGAACCTTAAATCTAATCTCCTTTTTAAGTCCTTTTCCTGGCCATTAACAATAACAACTTGGGGCCGGGCGGTGGTGGCGCACGCCTTTAATCCCAGCACTCGGGAGGCAGAGCCAGGCGGATCTCTGTGAGTTCGAGGCCAGCCTGGACTACCAAGTGAGTTCCAGGAAAGGCGCAAAGCTACACAGAGAAACCCTGTCTCGAAAAACCAAAAAAAAAAAAAACAAAAAAAACCAATAACAACTTGTAACAAACAATCCTAAACATTGACAATTATTCCAAACCCAAAACCCATTGAAGACCACAAACCACCCGTCAACCTCTTGGGAATGTGGGCATCATGTTGTTAAAATTGCTTCCTGCTGTTTGTGGGCACAGGCATCTTTAGGGGATCCCAAAAAGAAAAATTTGGGGTTAATTGGCAGATTCTGGGAGAGGTCGCTGTATCATTTGTTGTCCAGTCTCTGCATAATGCAAAAGTGCAGGGATTATCTCAAGTACTTGTTTGAATAGTCTGTGAGGCTAGATCATTTCAGCTAGCCATCCCGAAATTGTCCTGAGCAGTTTGTAATCCAAAGCTGATCTTTGGGTGATGTTTGCCAGCTTAATGGTATTATTATTGTCCATGTGGAATCGTTGTTGTGGGGCCCCATCATCTTTCTGGAGACTTCAAATTCACTATTAGGCCTGGTCATGATTCCCTGCAGAAAACTGATAAAGACTCCAACACAAAAACATGTACAGGCAGTTAAATGAAGCCTTTTTTCTAGAGTTAGTTAGCACTCTATATGACTGTTAATATCATAACAAAAGTTAAATATATATATATTAATCTTACAAATTTTTATATAAAATTCATACCTTAAGGAAAGTTTAAAGAAACAAAATAGAACCAAAAAATTGAGATTACTTGTAGCTAGAGTTTTCCTGCCTGGCCCACAGTCAGGACAAATCTCTCTCACCCGCCAGTCCCACAGCCGCTCAGACCCAACCAAGTAAACACAGAGACTTATATTGTTTACAAACTGTATGGCCGTACCAGGCTTCTTGCTAACTGTTCTTATAGCTTAAATTAATCCATTTCTATTAATCTATACCTTGCCATGTGGCTCGTGGCTTACCGGCATCTTCACATGCTGTTTGCCATCTTGGCGGCTGGCAGTGTCTCTCTGACTCAGCCTTCCACTTCCCAGCTTTATTTTCCTCCTTGTCCTGCCTATATTTCCTGCCTGGCCACTGACCAATCAGTGATTTATTTACCAACCAATCAGAGCAACACATTTGACATACAGACCATCCCACAGCAATTACTGGCAATAGAATAGTTCCTTAATTTTTGTTTTCTTCTGTCCCATATCAGATGGCTCTTCTGACATCATACAGAGATTTTGCATTTTCCTTTTAACAAACATGATTGAGTTTAGAGAAGAAGAGAGCCATTCTCCAACTCCAAAGCCAGCTTTAAATTTTAATTAAACTGGGACTACATAAAGATCATTTGTGTTAAGTGTCTGTAGACAAGAATAGAAACAAACATTTAGGAAGACTTATAAAATTTTATAGATGATATACCAATAGGCCAATTTACTCTTTTTCTTGGGACATTTTTTTCTAGATGATTTGTCCTTTTTCTTCAGATGTCTCATTTGTTCAACCTTCATTCTCCTGAATGAAAACAAAAACAAAAACTCTTCCCCAAGCCTAACTTTGGGGAGGTTCCCTTTTGGCAAGTTATATCTAATTAAATGAAAAGCATTTATTAGTGGTATAAGTTAGTTTAAATTGGATGGTCATGCTGGTTGATGAACTATCACCTCTTCTAATTAAGAGGTCTCTCTTGTTCAAATCTAACCTTTATCAATTTTGATGGTATCCACAGCTTATCTTCTCCTGTAGAAACAAAAGCAAAACCTCGTCCCCAATGTGACACATATCCTGGTTTCCATTCTGAGGTCAGCATATCCTTAAAGTATATAGGCTGATTTAATTCTGTAGTTTTTTCTACTATCCAATGTCTCTCTGCAGCTGTTGTTCCTTTCTCATTAGCGCTGAGAAAATTCAAAGTTAATAAAGCATCATGTAATCTACTTCTGGGGGGGTTGTTACCCCTTTTTGTTTATTTAGCATATCCTTTAGTGTTCGATTTGATCTTTCTATGACTGCTTGGGCTGTAGGATTATGTGGTATACCTGTAATATGCTTTATATTGTAATAAGCAAAAAAATGTTTCATTTTACCAGAGACATATGCTAGAGCATTGTCAGTTTTAATTTGTGCAGGTATACCCATGATGGCCATAACTTCTAGTAAACACGTGATTACTGAATCACCCAGAGAAAACCTTCCTAGTACAATATAATATTGAGAAAGAAATCAACCCTTGGGTTTCTCAGTATTTTAATAGAACAGAATGCCTTAAATTGTATTTATATGCTACAATGAGATGAACAAAAGGTGGTGGCTTTTCATGATTAGGTAGACTGATCCAGGAATTTTGACAACCCAATCCCTGCCTGGATACTCCCAAGGCTGATGGGATCATATATATAATAAAGTAAGAAATGAAAACAAAGACAACTCAACCTCCATTTGGCTGGTTAATCAAAGAAATTATTCTGGTATTTTGAAGTGATAAATGTAAAAACAAAAATCTATAGAATTATAAGGAATATAAGAACTTTTCTAAGCATTTTGGATACTCAGAAATAGAAGCGATTGTTTTAATTATCATGACATCATGAAACTTTAACAATTTTAATGAGAAAAAACAAAATAGCACACTTTGGAAATAATCACAACATAATAACTTATAAGTAAAAAAGTACAAAAATAGGAAAACATACAAACAAATAGAAAAGATATTCACATGAAAAATACTATAGTTGACTAAATAACCTTGCAAATAGATGCAAAAATGATTATGATTTCACTTGTTAGTATTAAAATTACAAGTTACATTAACACAAAAGTAACATATTCAGTGTTGGTGGGAATGTGAGGAAGTGATCTTCCTGATTTACTCATGGTGTGTCATCATTTTGATGCTTCACTATGTTTACTTTTCTTTTGTTCTTCCAAAGTGATCTTTTCTCCTTATGACATAACTAAACAAATGAAAAGGGTCAATATTCAAATGTCATTTTCCAGAAAGTTTGTCATCAAAACTTAATTTTTAAACAATTAGAAGTTAAAAGGTACTTTGGTAGTGTAGTGATTTGAAAGATAATGACTCCCAAAGGGAGTGGCACTATTAGGAGGTGTGGCTTTGTTGGAGTAGGTGTGACCTTGTTAGAGGAAGTGTGCCACTGTGCAGGCAGACTTTGAGAATTTATATATGCTGAAGCCACACCCAGTGTCTCAGTTCACTTCTTGTTGCCTGTGAATCAAGTTGTAGGACTCTCAGTTACTTCTCCAGCATCATGTCTGCCTGCATGCCACCATGTCCCACCATGATGACAATGAATTAAACCTCTGAACTGTAACCAAGCCATCCCAATTAAATGTTTTCCTTTATAAGAGTTGCTGTGGTCATGGTATCTCTTCACAGCAATATAAACCCTAACTACACATAGAGAAATTTCACTCCATAAAAGGAACTCTGTTAAAATTCCTGGACTGGAAACCCTGGATTTCCTGATCCTTTAATAGTCAGATGTCCAATGGTGTGGAGAGTAAGTTTAGCCTTCTTTTCATTTCATCCCTGCTGTTTTCTTGGAATAAGTAGGGAAGCAGAGTGGTAAAACACCAGCACAAACTGTGAAGTTTCCGTGGTCCTACTTTCCTCTCTCCCTTTCTTTTAGGCATACTTTCTTTAAAATGCTATATTCTGTCTTAATTTATTTCAATTACTACAAGTCATTCATAATCTAAGTAAGAGTGAGAAACATTCAAAAAACTGTAATATAGATACTATCATAGTATCACCAATTTTTTATTTTGTTAATAAAATTTGAAATAACACATACTAAGTACAACCCAAATAATTTTATAAAGGGAACAGGTATTTTGGGGGACACTTATTAGTTAAACAGTTATAGTTTAATATAAATGTGGATTCACAAGGTGTCCGCAAAATAAGTATACAGAGGCCCTGTGTCTCAGTCTGCTTGGGCTGCTATAACAAAGTTCGATAGAAATTTATACATTTATTTTTCAAAGCTAGAGGGTGAAAATTCAAGATTAAGGTACCAAAAGATTAATTTCCTAGCAAAATCCCCCTTTCTGCCTCACAGAAGGACATCTTTTTGATGGGGGATAAAGACTCTAACTCCATCCAACAACCTTAAAGATGCTATTTTTCATATAAATTGCCATGGGACTAAGAACTTCATCGTATGATTTTTTATTCTTTGGGAATTTCACATCATGCACCCCAATCTCACTCATTATTCTTCATATCCATCCTTCATCCTTACAGCATCCCCACCACAAAGGTAAATTTTAAAAAATATATTAATTAAGAAAGAAAAAATACTTTGCTCCTTCATCTTTCACTCCTCTCCATCACTTCTTAGTAACATTGGGAGTTTCAGTGTGTCACACAGTACATCTTTTGTCCAAACAGCTTTACTTGCAATTGTTCATTGGAATGAGTTGTTTTGGTCTGTTTCAGGCCTCAGGCTTCTGGTACAACATCAATATTGGACCCTCACCCAAACTCCTCACGGATATCCTGCTGTTATCCTGAGTCATGAAGATTCTCCATCTCTGGTTCCACAGGAACAATCATTTCATGTGCAGGTCATAGATTGGGTAAATGTTAGGGTAAGCCAACTAAGCACTGGATGTGGGCCTGGGTGGTAGCTGCGTTGGTCATTCTGGGCCTCTGCTGGGACCACCTGCCTCAGGCAAGGGGCAGAGCCAGTTCTCCTGCATCCATGCCATTGGGGTCAGTTCTCCTGTGAATGTGGTGAGGGGTAAGACCATTCCCCCAGGACTGGGGTCATTGGGGCCAGCTCTCCCACTATAGCACCCAGTGAGGGTCAGGGCCAAATCTTCCAGGGCCAGTGAAGGTCAGACCCTCGGATTTCAACATGTATGGTTCACATGGTCCCTGGTGGTAATGATACCAGGCTATGAACATCAACACAGATCCAAGTTGCAGCAGGACCATGGATACAGACATGGTCCTTGGCAGAAGTTTTGTGGGAGTCAGTTGGAGTCCAACTCCGACCTGTAGAAGGGTTCTTGAAAGGAGGGGAGAGGAATGAGGAAGTATTAGGTAGAAAGAGACTATAAGAAAGACAGAGACACAGGATAGCTTGGGGAGGGCCCTGGGTCAATACCCAGTCGCCTTGAGATTTATTCCAAAGGGCTTTGTATACAATGACAAGGGGTGAGGCAAAAGACCCCCCTTTCAAGATCAAAGCACAACATACAGCCGAGTGTAGACCCTTCAAAACACCTGGTTACCATGCCTGTGACCAAATCATCCCATTATGCAGCCCTGCTGGGTAAAGCAAGCATAGATTCTCTAACCCTGAGTAAGGTCTTACTAGGGAGCTTCTGTGGGCCCCTACACAGCTTGGGCCTGGATATTAGCATGGTTCTGGGGGGCAGTGCAGGCCGCTCAGATCATTATAGCTCTGGTGACAGTATGGTCCTCAGACATCAACATGGCCTCAGGTGGTGGACCATTCCCCAGGCATCCACATGGCCTTTGGTGGTAACAGGAGCTATGGACAGCAACACAGGCCCTGACTTCTGTAGGGACAAGGATCCAGACATGGCCTCCAGCAGCTCAGGCCTGGATGATACCATGGTCTCAGGTGGCAGCACAGGCCACCCAGATCTGCATGACCCCAGCTGATGGCATGACCCTCAGACACCAACATGGCCGCAAATGATGGCCTAGACTCTGGGCATCTGTGTGGACTTTGGTGGCAACATGGGCCATGGACATCAACTCAGACCTTGGCTGTAGTAACACCACAGACCCAGATATGGTCCTCAGCATCAACCTGGTCCCATGTCACCGTGGCCCTGGAGAGCAGCACAAGCCACTTAGATCATCATGGCCTCTGTGGCAGTGTGGTCCTTGGTCACCAACATTGGCAAATACATTCCAGTTGTCACCAAAGTACAAAGGTGTTTATCTGAGAGCCATCTGGGTTACAATCATGCATGAAATAGTAATTGTCCCATTTGTCAATCTTAAGCTCTTAACTTTATTCAGTGTAATTTTGTCAGGCTTCTGTATGCTCAAGTATTCTCACTGGAAGCAGGGGAATTGAAAGGAGGGACCACCCCAGGTGGCAGCCCAGACTATGGCATCCTCATGGCCTTCGATGGTAACAGGAATTACATACATCAACACAGACCTTGGCACCAACGGGACCAGTGATCCAGACATGGCCCTAAGCAGTAGCTCGGGCCCAAACATACCCATATCCCTGGGTGGTAGCACAGACCACCCACATCAGCCTCTTCCTCACCCCCTTCACTTCTTCACTTATGCCTCTCTCCACAACACATGAATATCTCTTTCTCTCCCATTTTCTCCACCATATAGTTGCTCATAATAATGGCGCCTTGAGGCATCAGGCATGCCTATGAGTGTTTTCCACCCATCCAGGCTGAGCAGGACAGGGCAGGCCTCAACACGTGATTTTTGAAGAAAACAATCATTTTGTCCTTAATACCCTATATATATATATAGTTAACTAGTATCAGTGTTTACCTATACCACAATAAAACCCCAGAGAAGTGACAATGATATAGCTTACTAGCCTTATTGATATTTTGTCAGTTTTACATTTCCTTATTTGCATGGTGATTTGCATTTGTAGACATTTATGTATTTTATAAATTTTTTCACATAAGTTGGGACATTTTATAACTACCACCATAGTCAATATATTATGCCATTTATGTAAGAAAAATTCTTATTGTTTATTTATAAAAATAGTCAGTTTCTCAACCTAATACTTCACAGTTAATATTTTTCTTCAAGCTTGATCTTAAAAATGTTAAATACATTTAATCATTCAGTCTGTGAATTTTGGACATTAACTTTTTTTGGTTTGAGAACTTCATGCATGAAGACATGTATTGGTCAAATCCACCCCCACTCCCTCCATCCAACTCTTCCCCTATCCTTCCACCTTTCTCCTCCCAACTTCATGCACTCTTTTGAAAAAGCCTTGAGTCCACTTACCGCTGCCACTAAGTGCATAAGACATTGATTTAGTCAAATGGCCTTTGATGTCTACAAATGTATTAAAGTTATGGGTATTGATGATTTGGTCATTTCCTGCTGTGTTTTGTGGCAAGTGTTGTACTTTGATTTCTGTTGCTGTTTATGGATGTAGTGCAGTTTGCTTAGTCACTCACTGAAGCATATATAGTTTGGGAGATTCTGTTTAGTGCAACCACAAACAAAGCTACTATGCTTATTTCTGTAAGGAGTGAGTGTGGTGTGTGCATAATTTCCGTTTTTCTTTGTTAAACTTGGGTACAGTTGTGGGATCTTAACTTATTTAAAGGTTTGTTCCTTTAGTCATAAAATTCCATTTTATTCCTGGAGGATGATTCTGTGTATACAGAACTTGAATTTAACACTTCTTTTATTTCACTTCATACATGGTTTCATGTAGAAAAATTGCTGATACATTATTCTGTGTTGGTAGCTTTCAAAGTACTTTTATTCATCTTTCTGAAGTTTAATTCTGTCATTCTGACATAGATCACTGGCTTTTACCTTACTGTGGCTACCCTCAACTACTTAACTGTATGTTTATGAATTCTACCAAATTACAGACATTTTCAGCTCTAACTTCTTTAGATACCATTTCAGTCCCACAGTCTTTTTTGTCTGAGATCATACAGATATAAAGGTTACTGCTTTTATTATATTCTCTAAAATCATGTAGACACTATTCTATTTTTTCACACTTTTTCTTTGATCAACAAAGAAAATATATGCAAATTCTATTGATCTGTCCTTGTATACACTGATTCTTTTTCTAATCATTTTATTTGACTACTAACCATATATATTGAATTTTTATATTTTAAGTTCCTGTTTTTATTTGTATGTTTCCCTTTATTTTGTTCAAGTATTTTCTTTACTGAAATCTATTTTTCATTTATTTCAAATATGTTTATGAGTTCTAAGATTGTTATTTTAATTAAAACCATGCATCCCCAATCATTTCCATTATCTAGTATCTCTTCAGTCTTGTCCATTGGTGGTTGTCCATGCTCATAACTTTATGAATGTTGTCACTATACGTTTAGTATTTTGCCTATACTGTTGTGAGATTGTAACTTGCTCAATATTTTCTATCAGGGATGCATGCTGTTTAGGTATTAGAAACAAATCTGGAGAGAAAGAGCAGAAATCATTGCCCATTGAACTCAAGTATTCTATGAAACTTGTAGTGCAGGCTTAACATCATTTCATTGAAGATGTGTGATTTTCAAGCTCATTCTCCCTGCCTAGTCTGAGGGCTAAAGTAGCAAAATAATATGTTAAATATTTTTTCCATCTTATTGATACTGTAAGAGAGGAGGCTCAGTTCTCAACTGTGTATCTCAATTGTGATAACTCAAAGGTAGTGAGAACAGTCAGAGGAAGTGGCAAAGGGTCAACTAATCAAGCTTCTTATCACTCTATTTAGACCTATATTGCATGGAGAACTAAATCTCTTGGCACAGTTGTTAGACTGGAGATAGTGAGGAAGCAGAGTGCCAATCAAGCACCCTCATAATACTTGCTGAAGGTTATTGTTGGATTGTTATAGAGGCTCAGTTCCTCACTAAACCCCTCTAAAACTACAGTGGTAAGGGAATTAGAGTGCTAACTGCTGCCATCATGTGGTAGGTTATGGAAAAGCTTCCTTTTCAGTCTTGGCCATCATGATTCCACAGAGACAGAGTGAATGAAGCCTGCTTCCATCAGACAGCCAGTGAAAATTGGGTCCTTGTTTGCCCCTATCAATAGTACCAGGCATTGGAAATAATTTTCCAATGATTTGGAAGCATTCTGCTTCTACAGGAACAGCAGACATCCAAGTGAGCTCTTCATTTGGTCGTACTAAATGGGAGGGGGCATGACACGACATGACCAACTTTACTACTGCATTACGCAGGAGTGCTTCAAGGAATAAAATTTTATCTATTTTGTTAAGGTATTCTTTTCCCTGTGGTTTCTCTCAGAGTAGTGGGTTTTACTTGTACTCTTTCCTCCCTTCCTGCCTTCCTTCCTTCTTCCTCCTCCTCCTCTTTCCTTTTCTTTGCTGTCTGTATTGGTTACATTTGAGTGGGAGATTCTCCATTTCCTGGTTCAAGACATATGGTAAATAAGCCAGGCATAGTGGCACACATCTTTAATTCCAGCATTCAGGAGGCAGAGGCAGGCAGATCTCTGTGAGTTGGAGTCCAGTGTGGTCTACATAGTGAGTTCCAGGGTAGCTACAGCTACATATTGAGAGCCTGTCTGGAGAAAAAAGTATATGTATGCATATATATATATATATATATATATATATATATATATACATATATATATATATCACATATGTGTATACACACACACACACATATATATATACCATATATGTGTGTATATATGTGGTAAATAAAAAACTCAGGGAACTCACCACCATGTCATTACTAAAGCTTCAATACTCTTAGCCAATCCCCTCTATCCTTATCATTTAGTTGTATCTCTATATTGTATAACAGAAGACTAAAGAGTAGTGGACTAGTCACCATTGCCAGAACTCGAAGTTCGAAAAGCAATTTTAAGAACAAATAAAGTAGGAAGGATAAAATCTAAGAATAAAAGTTTTCTAAAGGAATTACAGTCTTGTATTTTCATTTTGTTATCATTTTTATCAAGGAGTATTTAAATCTAAATAAAATTGAGTAGCCAGACATATGTTTAAACAAACTAATATGAAATGTATCAATTTCTTCCACAGAAGTTTGGCTTTTAAGCACTTTAAACATGAAGGATGATTGATAATTGGAGCCAAAGGGACACAATATATACAAATATTTCTCTTGCTGACTTTAGTAAGACTCTACCTACACAGATGAACACAGACACCAACAGAGATGATGTATAGATTATACTAAAATATCTGTTTTCTATGCATTTCATATTGTATTAAAGGAACATTTGTAAAGTGGAAATAAAAAATCAAATAAGAAAACCATATATAATTAAAACATAAACGTTCAGTTTTATTTCTAGCTTTTATAATGGGCAGTTTTAAGTCAGATCCCAAAGATCTCCCCAAGAATGGCAGGCTATTATCAGTACTTGGTTACCTTCTAGACTTTGATAGTAAGACCCTACTGCTGTAGACACAGCCTACTAGACTCACAAAACATGGATAAACCAACCTGGTGCTTACTTGGAGCCTTCAATACCTATTGTCTAGCTTTTATAGTGCTGTAGGTGCTATGCATGCTACCAGAGGATAAAGAACCTTCAATTTCACCCAGCTGTGAACCCTGAAAGTTAACTGGCCTGAGAAGATATGGCCACTGGTCCAATAGTGGCACAAATACTTTGGGAGCAAACAGTCTGATTGGATTTAATGTTCATTTCATGAATGGGAATCCATTCCTGAACTGTTAATAAGGCAAAGAATAAGCAGTGACTAGATAGGTCATAGACCTTATGGGAAAACCAAGTACTATTATACTAAATGGACATAATATTAAAATGACTCCTAGTGACTTATTCCTATACTCATAGAATAGTACATCTCTCAACTCTCATCAGAAAAGCGTCTTTTCGTAGATCATAACTAACATAGAGACCTTCAACTGGTCCATGAGTAGAGAATAACTGGAGTGATTAGCCCTAAATAAGATGTGCATCACACACACACGCACATGCACACACACACACACACACACACACACACACACACACACACACACACACACGAGGCTTGGAGATCTTTGTGGAAAAAGAGGCAGAAAGATTGTAAGAGATAGAGGTGGTAGATGATTATAGCGAAAGAGTGCTTTCTAAATGTAACGGGGAAGTTACACATATGGATGCACAATCATTTTGATAGCATGCATGAGGCTTAAATAAGCTCAAGCCACAGAAAATACCAGGATGGGGGTAAGGAGGAGATCATGACATCCCACCACTATCTGAGGAGCTATTGGTATTTGATAGCTGCTGGGAGATGGAGAGTCAGCTTTCATTACTTGGTAGATAAACCACATGCTAGGGCAGGCTCCATTCCCAAGAGTTGGGTAACACAAGCTAGACTCAAGTGCTGGGGAGAAGAAAACAAATTTGGGTGAGTAGGGAAATAAAGTGTAGAGGGTAAATATAGTACATAGTATGAAATTCTCAAATAATAAAAGTATTTTTAAAATTTGAATCGAGGGCAATTTTGCTTAAATTTTATGAAAGTATGATCTCAAAATAATAAGGAAAATGGTAAAAATAATACATATCCCAAGTGACTCTGTTGGGTTACTTTTGAGTATTAGAATTTCTTCTTTAATGTTTTCCTTTGACCTTTGGTAATTTATACCAATTGCTAAGCATATATAGTATTTTTGAGAAAGTTTGCCATTAATAATATTGTGATGATACACAAATCCAAGAGTGATTATTATTCAAACGAAAACCAAAATAAGCATACCACAATATCATTGTAATTACATTTTAGTTTTTTTAATTAAATCAATTTGTTTATGAGAAATGAACAGAAAATTTAGAACAAAAATCTATTTGCACAATTCAGACTGCACAAGGAAAACAAAAATAGCTTGATGTGTTTTATAGAAAAGAATTAAATGTTAAATAATTTCATATTATTCTACTATAAATACAGGTTTTACTTTTGACTTGGCTAAGCCATTTCCCCACAGATAGGGACAGAGTAGGATGGTTAAATTATATATTGATATTGTCGTTGTCTGAATGAGATGTCCCCCATGAGTCTTGTGCATTTGAATACTTGGCCCCCAGTTGGTGGCTGTTTGGGAGGATTAGGAAGTGTGACCTTGTCAGAGGAAGTACTTAGTCACCTGGAGCAGGCTTAGAGGTTTCCAAAGCCTCTGGCGATTTCCAGTACACTTTCTGCCTCCCACTTGCAGGTTTTAAGATGTGAGCTCTCAGTCATGTTCCTGCTGCTGTGCCTTTGCTCTACTCCTACGGAATTATAAGGCCCCTTGTATTGGAAATAGATTCTTTTCTCATACAATATATCCTGATTACAATTTCCCATCCTTCTCCTCCTCCTAGTTTCACCCCCATTTCCCCTCCGGTTCAGATCCACTCCCTTTTTGTCTTTCATTAGAAAAGAGAAGGCTTCTAAGAGATAACAATAAAACATAACAAAATAAAATACAAGATAAAAAATCCTATCACATAAAAGTTGGACAAGGCAAACCAACAGAAGGAAAAAAGCCCCAGGATGAGGCACTAGAATCAGAGACTCATTCATTCACACAGTTAGGTCCCATAAAAACACGAAATGAAAGCTATAATATATACACAGATGACCTGGTACGGGCCCTGTACTTGCTGCTTCAGACTCTGTGAATTTATATAAGCTTTGCTCCATTGATTTAGAGGGACTTATTCACCTGGTGCCCTTCATCTCTTCTGGCTCTTCCTCCTCTTTCATTGGGGATCCCAGAGCTCTGAGGGGAGGGATTTGATGGAGACATCCCATTTAGAACTGGGTATTCAAAGGACTCACTTTCTGCATAATGTCTGGCTGTGTGTCCCTGTATTTGTTCCCACCCACTGCAAGAGGGAGCTTCTCTGATGATGGCTGAATAGTGTACTGATCTATGAATATAATAGAATAGGTTTAAAAGTTGACTTGGTCATGGTGTGTGATCACAGTGAAAGAAAACTATCTTAGTTATTGTTTTATTCTGTGAACAGACACCATGAGCAAGGCAACTTATCAAAAAAACCATTTAATTGG